CCATGTGTTCAAGTGCATAACCGTTTTTCTTGTAAAAGATGCCCTTGCCCTTGGGTTACCTTCTCCTTGGCCTTCGCAGACGTTGTGAAGCAGATTCCTACCTGACCAAACCAACAAACGCGTCTTTCAATGAGAATGGAACCACTTTGAAAATCCATTTATGTTTGGATTTTTAAGGATGAAGCATTTACAATAATGTAAAAGAACAGATAATGTGATTTAGGGCATTATAGGGCATGCTTTACCAATATTTAAGATATAAAAGCAAATATATCCTTTCTTTAAAGATTTTCATGTTGTGATACAGAACATTATCATGGACAAGTTGTAGGCTCTTAAATTAAAAGAACTGAAGACCAACCTGCAGATTGATACTCATTGGAACCAAAAAGAAGACAATGTGCTTTTTATACATTTTTAGTTTTGTACAATTTTTTGTTTATGATTTTCTGTACATTAGTTGAATCTTCTATTTAAACCAAATATTTTTAAGTAAGTCTTTGTGTAGGTAAGGGTACAACAAGGCATAAAGGGGATTCCATTTGGATATTAGATAACTGGTTTGGACTTAAGATCTGCCATTACCACAAGCATGACCTTCATTATACTTTCAACTTGTCTGTATGCCTTTTCCACATCTCTAAAATAGAAATGACAGTAGGACCCATTTCCTAACATCATTACACAGGTTAAAAGGGTTGATACACTAAGGGCCAACAGGTGGTGTGGTGGCTAAAGTGCTGGATTCCCACATGGCTGACCATGGTTCTAGTCCTGGACCTGGCAGCTTGGAAATTATGCCTGGCCCATGTGCATGTTGCCCAAAGTCTCAGGAGGAGAATGGAAGAGAAGGGATTGAGGTGTGGTCATCCCCCCGAGGGGTTGATTTCTTACTTTCTCCAGTGAGAGCACGTGCCCTAGAGCAAAAATCTAAAAAAATGGGGGAAGCAGTTGATACACAAAGTACAGTATTCCCTGACACAAAGTAAGTGTTAAAAATGGTGTCTATTGCTATTTTTATCATAGAGAAGGTTTGGAAATGATCTAAATATCCATCTCACAGAAATATCTAAACTAATTATAATAGTTTCTTAATTTTTATTCATGCTACAGAATGAGAGAGAGAAGACCCTAACAGTCTTGTCACATTGAGATCCCCTTCCCACAGCCCTCCAGTCCGTCAACATCTTGGGCATGCATGCCTGAGCCATGTGGCTTCCAGCACTACAATCGGGTTTGCTATCAACTGTTTTGCCACGCCGGGCCAACTTTATTATTTTCATATGCTATTTTGATATAATGCTATGGACGGGTTACTATGCAGCGATCACTATGTCATTTCTGAGAGCACTTAATCACATTAAATTCTTATTATGTAGATTCAAGTGAAAAAATAATAAGACAAAATTATTTCCATTATATAACTATAATTAGTTTCCTTAAATTTTTTTTTTCTTTTTTAATGGTAGAGCATGTGCACACACACACACAGGTGAAGAAGAGAGAGCGCGAGAAGCACCCTCTGCACGGGGGTCACCTTGCAAACCTCTTCATCAGTTGTCTCACGCATCCGATCTCGGGCACTTGCTCTCACACTCACTGTATTTCTGGCTGACCTGGCCTGGGTTTTGAGCTGTGGCTGCCATGTGGAGTCTGGCTTCTCTTGAGCAGTTCATTACCCCTCTGCCATGGAGCTGGCTTATTAAAATTACTCATGATTTTTATTAAAAAAATAAAAAATAACACTTGAGTTGTCAGTCAATAGGTAAGTTTTATTAAAAAAGACTAATTTTTAAATGGACAACATTAATATCTTTAGCTGCTTTTAATAATTGAAAGCCTTAAGAAAGATCCACCCCATATTAATATCATGCAAATAACAGATACCAGGTATTAGATTGCCATGCTATTGTTTTCAGGTCATAACATTAAAATATTCATGAGGCCAAACTCTTCAAGCACCAGAAAGATTCTAGGTTCTTCTTTATGATTCTCCAAGGAGTTTTCAGTAGAAAAGAAATGTCTCAGGAGGCTTCAGACATTACAGAGGCTGTGGCTGTGATCCCTTAGGGCCCAATAGAGTCAGCACTTAACTCCTGTAAAAGAGATCTTAATAAAATTCACACAGCGTGAAATGGAAAGTCTGGGGGAAAAATGAAGTTTTCACAAAGTGAAACAAACGAGCTTTCTTTGTTGGTTCAGAGGAATAAGGAAACCCAACAGCAGCAGCAGAAAATACTGGGGAGTAGTGAGCGTATCTCTGAGGTTGCTTTTGTTCATTGTTGTCTGGAAAACACTCCTTAGAAGTCTTGGAAATTGAGATAATGAGGACACAAATTGCTATTCCATACTCACTCGCTGGGATGTAAAGCTCCAGGGTTTGTCTACTTTCTGGGATTTCACACTGCAAGTGGCACAGTTTGAACACTTTCTGTGTGTGTGTGTGAGTGTATGTGTGTGTGTCTTGAATAAAAAACTATTGTAAACTTCATCCTTTGATCAAGATACAAGGCATCTGACAGCATTCGCATCAAAAGCAAAGACACTCTCAGTAGAGGTGTTCTTTCTTCAACGTTTGTTAAGTCAAAGCTCTTCACGGTTTGGTCATGTTTCAAACTTTTGTCAGCCATGTTGGATAAACAATTTGGGTTTTCCTAGTTGTTCTTCAAACATGTTCCTTTGGTGCTCATGGGGACTTGATATGGAAACATATTCTTTTTTTTTTTTTTGGAGAGGCCTTTGCTATAGGGAGTGTACACTCTCCAGAAAGACAGAGACAGAGAGAGAGAAAGCGAGAAATCACCCCTTGGGTGGATGGCCATGCTGCAATCCCTTCTCCTCCATTCTCCTCTTGGGATCCTGGGCATGCACACACAAGCACCCATCGTGAGTTTAAGCCACTGGGTCTGGGACTTGAACCGTGGTTGGCTACATGGGAGTTCAGTGACATAGCCATTACACTGTTTGTCCCAGGAAACATGTTCTTATTCACCCAAACAGTTGTGTGGTAGCAGGTCAATACTAGACAAGGTGAGGTACTGGAAGATGAAGTTATGTAGATCTTTCACCTTCTCCACGTGTAGGATCCACAGAGCAGCAGCAGCAACCCCATCAGCAGTTTGCCAGACACTGGATATTGAATCTACATCATCACGACATTCCAGTTGATTTATGCACACGTTATATTGTGAGAACTCAGGCCACCATTTCATTAAAGAGGAGTGGGAGATGACACATGGGATTCACATGGGAACAGGTTAAAGGCCATATTGGTGTAAGCTATTTTTGGTTGCTCTCTCTCTCTCTCTCTCTCTCTCTCTCTCTCTCTTTTTTTTTTTTAAAGCTTGCTGGAGAGTTCACATGTTGGTCAGAAAAGGAGAGATAGACAGTGAGAGGGCAAGTGAGAAAGCACCCCTAGTTGGGTTATGCCACAATCCTTCCTCTTCCATTCTCCTCTTGGGATTTTTGGGAATGCATGCAGATGCGCCCAGTGCATTTCTCAAAACACCAAGTATGGGGCATGAACCATGCAGTTAATGATGTGAGATCTAGACTCCTTTACCAGCACACCACTGTGGATCTATGCAGCTCTCTCAAGACTGTGATAAATGAAATTGAAGAGTAGGAAGGAAGAAATGTGACAGAAAGGGAAAACAACCCAGAAGAATCCTTCGCTTTACTATGGTAGAGCTAAAAACAGAGGTGTTAGCTATATTCAGATCTCCTAACCCCCTGTCACTAACATGAACAGACTCAGGAGCATTTATTTTGTGGAAAAGTAAAAAATATAGATGATGTCTGTCTTCCAAACTAAAATTGTACTGATATTTACAATTATAAATGTTTTTCTCTCTTCATACTTAATAAGATATTTATATAAACTTGATGTCATTTTTGATCTAAAATAAAAATGCGGAAGGATATAATCTCTCAGGTCCATTTCAGCTCTGAAAAAATAGTCTGGGGCCTCATAAAAATCCTGAGAGGGCCAGCCAGGCAATGTGGTGGTTAAGGCATCCAGAGTCCACATGGTTGACTATGTGGTTCAAGTCCTTGACCAGGTGGCTTGAGAAATATGCCAGGTGCGCACACACGTGTGTGTGTGTAAACTCTTGAGAGAAGAGTGAACAAGAAGGGATTGTGGCATAGTCATTCCCCCCCCATGGGGTGCTTTCTCATTTTTTCTCTTTCTATCTGGCCAGCATATGTACTCTAAAAGAAAATTTAAAAAATAAATAAATAAATAAAAAAGAAGGTAAGAGAGCTAAGTGGGACTGACACATTTATTTTCAGTGGCTTTTTGTTTGATTTTGGTTTTGTTTTTCAATATTGTCATATAAGGGAAATGATAATGTAGGATTCAATGCTAAGGCACAAACTTCTACCATTGTGCCATGATCTGTTCTATGGATTTATCACATATTTTTCAAGTAGGTAGTATAAGTCAGGCACTGTCTTAGGTCTAGGGATGAAATGGAGTGAAAAGTGAACATGGTCTCTGAGGATTTTCAAATAGTGAGAAGAAAAGCACCAATATGCCAAACTGCTGCCAGGGAAAACTATGGCACCACAAGGAAGGAATGGAGGATTTACTTATTGACTTCTCATTTATAAAAGGAAGGTAACAAATTTTGTCACAGGTTTTCCTTGTTTTTTTTTTTTTTTTTTTTGGTAAGTAAAGTGTGTAAAGTAGGCAAGAAAGGACTAACTCAGCAGGTCTGGATTATTCAAATCCTGTACAAGCCAAAGAAAAGCCCTTTTTAAAGATGGGGCCCTTGGCTAGCTTCTGCAATATAACCTCTGAGCCTCTAAAATAGTCTGCCTCTAGAATACTCTGCCTCGTCTTATACATCTGAGGCCTTGGGCCACACTGTACCA